TATGTACTCGTCCTGATTTGGCTCATGCTGTTAGTCAAGTCTGCAAATACATGGCTAAACCTGGAAGACGACATTGGGAAGCAGTCAAGTGGATTTTCATGTATCTGAGGGGTACTGTAGGACATGGAATTATTTTTGGCAGTCAGAAGAATGATCCTTCAGTTGTGGGGTATGTTGATTCAGACTATGCAGGTGATTTGGATGGCAGAAGGTCTACAACTGGGTATGTGTTTACTCTTGGTGGAGGGCCTATATGTTGGAAATCAACAATTCAGTCTATTGTGGCATTATCTACTACTGAAGCAGAGTATATGGCAGTAGCTGAAGCTGCTAAAGAAGCCTTATGGCTTGCTGGGCTAGTAAAGGAACTGGGCATTGAGCAAGGTGGAGTTCAGTTGCATTGTGACAGTCAGAGTGCTATTTATCTGGCTAAGAACCAGGTGTACCATGCGAGAACCAAGCACATTGATGTCAGGTATCACAAAATCAGAGAGTTGATTGCTTCTAGGGAGATACTGTTGCAGAAGGTTCATACTGATGAGAATGCAACTGATATGTTGACCAAGCCAGTTACTACCAACAAGTTCTTGCATTACTTGGACTTGTTGAATGTTTGTAGTTGCTAGAAAAGCATGGTGGCCCAACCCACAGTGGTGTTTTTAACTTCTCAAAAATTAACCCAAGTATATATGATTTATCTTCATATTATAGTTGTTATGGTATGACTCATATATCATATTGGGACAGACGCTGGATCGAAGCGGAGCGGAGCGGAAAAATCTGTCCAAATTGGGAAGTTACGTGGGTTGGGGTGCGGGGGCAAAGCCCCGCGGTATGATACAGGGGTAATGTTGTAATTACATATTGTGCCTAAGGTTTACTCCTGGGATTATAAATAGACCTGTTAGTAACCCCAGGAGGAATCCCTGATTTCTGTAAACCCTTTTCTGAATATTGAAAGGAACTCGCCGCTCTGCTCCCGAGGACGTAGGCATCTTTGCCGAACCTCGTTAAATCTCTGTGTTCTTCTGGATTTGTGTCGTTTATGTTTTTCTTCGCCTTTATTTTCTCAACACATACAAACTGCACAACCTTATGAGCTTACATTTCTAACACTAAAAAGTTTGATATTTACATTTACAGCACCAAGGTGCTATAAATTTAATGAAAGTTTGATATTATCTAACACCAAGTTCAGGCAATAATTATTATTTTCTTCCAAGATCTTTCCGCCTTTCATCCACCACGACATAATGAAAGTTCGATATTATCTAACAGCATCAAGTTCAGGCAAAGCACTCGCACACAAAAGTTTTGCTATATTTTGCAAATACGAAAGTAAACGATTTCCAATTCTGGCGATCAGAATTATCTCCCATATGTCGCTCACAAAACTTTTGATAGGACATGTTGACCAATCATCCCGCGAAGTCAACTTTACAGGCTAAAAACCTAATTGTGCTGCATTTTTTTTATTACCCCATGGGTACTGAAAGAATGGAGTGGGTCGCACCAGCGATCTTCGACGGTGTTGAGAAGAGGTGGTCCGTTGTTGAGAAGAGGTGGTCCGGCGAAGCTACTGACGAAGGCGACATAGGAACGTCAGTGGGGGTGGCTGTTAGAGCGAGGTAGCAAGCTCCGGTGATCTCTGGCAATGAACTCCGTCAAGCTTCGGCGGTGCCGACGAATGGTGGTGGTGGGCTGAAGTGCCAATGGTGGAAATCAGTGTGTGTGTGTGTGTGTGTTTGTGTTATGAGCGCAACGTATCTGGGTCTGTTGGTTGGCATCCACGGTATAAGACCCCTCAGGTCGGAAGTTCGAATCCCCTGTAGGATAGTTGCCCTTAAAGAAGTGTTACTAGAATTGTTAGGCACATTAGAGATGGTTGGAGACTCGTATAATATCCTTTGGCAATTCCTTTTGAATATATATATAATATAAGAACAATAAATAATTAAATAAACTGTGAGCATCATTTTGATTGATTTTTTTGTCATGTTTATTTAACTATTTTTGAGTGATCTTGAATTACACATGATTGACTCAAATGCGGGACTCGTTTAATATGAGTGCCAATTTTAAGTATGTATAGCCCATTTTATAATCATATATGGTTGAGCAGCTTGAAGAAGTTGATGAAATTCATGCTCAAATCACACACATTGTCAATGCAGCTCATCATTTTTGTCATGCTTACTTCTTTTGATCATGAAAGAACACCTCTTATACAATTTCAACGTTTCGAACGAACTTGTGCAATTCATTTTTTGATTGAATGTCGTTTGCGTGACTTTGACGATGTTTGAAGTAACACAGCTTTAATATGCCAATTGTCACATTCATATTGCATCATTTATCTTACATCAGATTGACTTATGAAATATACATTGAGATCGATACCTACTGTTTGAAATGCTTGGCCATGTGGTACGAACCACTTTGTGTTGCCAAAGATGAGTGTTTCCGACACTGTCAAAGTCCTATTAATGTTTTTATGAAGTCCTAGGTTCCTAGTCTTCTTAATACTCTTAAGCTCAATCTTCAATATTGATTGAAACAAATCTGAGAGAAATCAATTCATTTTCATCACAATTCAAGCTAGAATATCATCTCCTAGCTTCAAAATTTGTCCATGCACCTATGAAATTAGTTCATTTCACAACTTCTATGCATTGCCCTCAGAAGCTATCCATTATTTCAAAAGAGATACAATTTAATTATCTCTAACCTTGAAACAATATGCATTTAGACATTGAGATACTGCCCAATATATAAAACTCAATAAACACAACAAAAACAGGGGGAAATCCTTCAATGTTTTCCTCTATAAATTTCTTTTCTTCACTGAGAAAATATAAAACAAACATTAAGCATGAATATAAACACAAAAATGAATAGAAAAGAAAACTGAAGCTTTTAATGTCAGCATTAGATGGCAAAAGCAGAAATATCAAGAAAACCTGATTTAAGACTGAAAGCTCAAAGGCCAGGTAATCTGTGCCTGTTGCCGATGGGATTAAGCTCGTCGGAGAATACCCCCTCACTGCTGGAAGCTGAGGGTTGGCGGCTGTGTCCATACTCAGCGATCATGCCACTATAATCTCCACTGTACTCAGGGCTGGCAAGTGCTACCCTTCTAGTTCTCCTCATGTTTGGTGCGTACAAGTCAGAATCATAGTCTGAGCCTGAGCTGAAAAGCACGCTCTGCCCCGGCCTCATCCCCTCATTCAAATCCTCAAGTAATACATCGCCCTCCAATGCCCGAACAATCTGTGATTTGTACAAAGTAGGATTAAGCAATCTTTTCAAACCACTTGAAAAGTACTATTTTCTATGTTTCAGTTATTATAAGAATAGTATCAGAGGTCAGATAGGCTGTAGTGTAGAGAGATTCAGGATCTTGTGATGAATTACATCAAATACATAAACATAATGAGCGTCTATAAAGCATAGGGAATAACATCAGTGATATGAGAATAATACACAGACGTAGAAGTAGGATAAAATTATTCAAAAGTACGACTATTATTCTATGGACAAGATCTTTTCATTTATAAATTATTGATATAAAAGTTATAATCAAAACACTTCATGTTAATATTTTTTTTTATTGAAGAAAGCAGTTATATTACTTGTTATTTGAAGCTCAATTAAATGTCAATTTAAAACTCGTTTATATTAAATTAAATTAATTTTTTAGTCCATAATACAAAATTAAGAAAAAGACTTGTTTATTTATTTGTTCGTTTATTTTGTGTATTTGTATGCTTCTTCTATTTATTCATTTAATGGCTCATTCTTTTTCATATTTAAAAAAAAATAGCTCATTTATAATCTTGACAAATTTTGTTTAATTAGAAAATAAACACCTCAATCATACTACTCATTAATTTATTCAATAAAACTCATTTGGTTAGAAAATATATAGCTTGATATCACCGATTTTAATTTGCTTGATAAAATCGTTTGGTTAGAAATCAAGTAGGTTGATAATAGTAATCGTTAACTTGATCGATAATATATCACTTACATCATAAGAAACCACCATGAAAAATTTAACTCGAGCAATCCAATCGACCAATAAATCAAGCTTGAATATAAACACAAAAGCTCGAACTCAAGGTCGGCTTGGCTCGGTTGCAACACAAGTTGTAATAGTCTTAATTTGATTTTTAGACTCCCTAACTCAGTTGTATCTGATTTCCATGTCAGAACGTAATTGGTTTTTTCTGTCTTCTTTCGAATCACTAAACTACTATTTTGGAAGATAACTGCCACTATTATTATTGATTTCGTGTTGTAGTACGACAAAAGTTGATTCCCTAAACCAACTTCGAATTTGGAGATGTAAAGTTGACACTATTGTTGTTGTCCTACATTTTCTCATTCGGGTTCTAGCTATTATAGTTTGCTACTTATCGTTTTCGCTTTTGACTACAATAATACGAATGTCGAGAGCCTCACATGACTTTGTTCAAGTGCTCTATTTACTTGTACGACACCTTTCATGGCTAAGTTTCCTTATTCAATCGGTATTGACAATAGAGTTATAATTTAATAATTTGCAGCATGTTAGCATGAAATGAAATTCAAAAATTGGAAATTTACTATTTAGTTGATACAAAGGTTGAAAACTTAATATTATTGTTGTAATTTAAGGGGCCAATTAGAATAATATTGTTTTTGTTTTTCATTGTTTATTTTTAGGGAAATTTGCATACATAATTCTTAAGGATTTACATATCTCATACCTAAAACACTCATAGCATTTTACCTATGTATGGAAATGTGGATTTGACTATTAAAAAGTGATAATCAAAGCTAATTTCGATGTGATACCAAAAAATTGGGTGTCATGCGTGTAATAATGAAAGTTTTGGTGCGAGATAGGTAAATCCATAAGAATTGAGTGCTATGTATGTAAATGACCCTTATTGTTATTTTGTTTTGTTTATGTTTTGATTTGAATTAAAATCTATTTGATTGAGACTTTTTTTAAAAAACATTAAAACAATATATTTTAAGTATTTTGAGTATTTTTAAAAATAAATTGATTTATTTTTTAAAATAAAAATTAAAAACATATAAAATTTATTAGAACCAAATATATTTCCAAAAGAAAAGAGAAAAAACAAAAACAAAAACAAGAAATAAAAGTGATGCCAAAATGAGCCCTAATTGTATTAAAATGATACATTCAAATTTGATTAAAGGTTCATGGAAAAGAAAAAAATATTGATTTAGGGTCTTTTGGATTTTAAATAAGACCTCCAAGAAATGCAAAATTTATTTAATGGTTGAAAAAAATTTTATTTTTTCTCAGTTTTTAATGTACTGTTAGATGTGAATTATTTGAATGCTTTAAAAATCTTGATGATAACTTCTGGAGAATGATTCTCCCTTTATAAGCCAAAGGCTTGGATAATCTAATTGACATTTATCATTGCTCTTTCTTCTAAATTAATTAGTTATTGATTTGTGCAGGTCATTAAAATCCTGTCGAGTTTGATATACATCAGTTTTGTTTTTTATCATGAGTCTTCGCCATAGGAGAATCTATAATTGTTTTTTTTTTTTTTTTTTTGAGCTTTAGATTTTAAAATTTTTTATTATCATTTGGAATAAATGAAGTGTGCTTTATTATTATTTTTTTATTTTTTTTTTTTTTTTCTTTTTTTTTTTTTTTGCGTCAAAAAAAACAACCCTTTGCTTAAATTAAAAATAAAAATTTACAAATTATGGCAGCTCTTGTGTTTTTTTGTGCATAACATCCCAAGTATTATTTCATCCTACCACCTTAGAAATCCACATCATTGAATTTGACAGCATTTGCAATACAATTGGAGGAAAAAGATTAGAAAATGAGATATATAATAGAACTCTATTAGCCATTCTTTACAAGAGAAAAGTGCCAAAATGGTACCCTCACCATTTACATGGGGACATTTTAGTCACAAATTCTATAAATGTGCCTATTTTGGCCCACAATAAAAGAGTTTGGGAATTATTTTGGCACTTTTCTCTCCTTTATAATAAATCTGAGATCTTCAATCATCTGTGTCAATGATGCATACCTGACTCATCTTTGGGCGCCGCCTTGCAGAATGACGAACACAAGCAGCAGCGCTTGCAATCATACGTGCCATCTCCATGGGGTCATAATTACCATTCAAACGAGGATCAGACACATCATCATAGTTCCCATCAGCCAATGCTTGAGAAAGAATTGGTCTTGCCTGAAAGTAACAATTAAGTTTGAGTTAAACAACAAAAGAAAAAGGGCATTTACATAAAATATAAAACCAAAATTTTACTTGTTACAATTATACCACTCAAATCTTTGATATCATATAAAAAATACCATCATTTTAACTTTTAAAAAGTTGAATAAACATTTTCAAGCATATGGAAGGTGGCGTGCAAGTAACAATTGAAGTAAATGTGTAAATACATTAGAATTGAATGGTATATATGTATATCTTCCAAAAAATGAGCATTTACATGCATACCACCCAATTCTTATGTATTTACATATATAACATCTAAATTCTACTTTTTTGCATTTATGCCACTCAAATCTTTCATATCAAATCAAAAATATCATCTTTTTAACTTTTAAAAAGTAAAATACAACCTTTCATGCATAGGGAAGGTGACATGTATGTAACAACTAAAGTTTAATTGTTAGATATGTAAATACTTAGGATTGAGTGGTAGGCATATAAATCTTCCAAAGAAGGGGCATTTACAAAAATACCACCCAATTCATGTGTATTTACATATCTAACTGACCCAGATGCTGACCTAGATCACAATTATTTCAAAGAAAATGATGCAAGAAACTAAACTAACCCAGTCCACTAAGCTATCTTCAATAAATGTGTGTGAGCTATCAACTGGTCGTCTCCCAGTTATCAGTTCGAGAAGCATCACCCCATAAGAGAAAATATCAGATTTCTCAGTTAGCTTGCCACTGGATGCATACTCTGGTGCTAGATATCTGCAATTATAGGAAAAGTTGTTGAACTACTGCATACGTTTGTTTGGTTTTATGGTTGCTTCAGTATGTACATTTGTTTTACCCAAATGTTCCCATGACTCTGGTTGAGACATGTGTGTGATCATCCGACCAAAACTTTGCCAAACCAAAATCAGCAACCTAAAATGGTAAGCATTTACGTGAGAAACTCATTACTTTAGATCAAAACTTGTGCAAGCAATACAAAAATATCAATTAATTCATTTGTAGAACATTACATCTAGTTTTCAAGCAGTATAATCATGAAAATGACATGCCACATATGTTTTCAAGGCGGTCCTTGCAAAAGGCATGATATTGTCATGCAATCTATGAAAACTGATTCACTCACATGTGGTGACGCTCAAACGTGCATACATGAAAAAACCCGTGCATTTTTCTGTGTTAAAAGGCGGGTTTGATGTCAAATCTTGTTTGGAGGATAATTAAATGATAAATAAGACACTACCCAAGTATTTCACTCATTTGCAGCCTTACATGGACTAATTTTTAATTCAAGGCATCCCATGAGGGAAAATTCTTATGGTTAATTACCTTTCTCATTTATGAGCGAACGTTCAATTAAGGCTAGTGTGTTGGCACTTTACTAGTTTGTACATTTGGTTCCCATCTAATCTGACTTGCAACAATGGATAGGAGAAATAAAGGTTATTTCTCATGGCCCAAAGCGGATCAATGGAGAATGAAAACAAAAGTGATAAAGATCTCATGACTCTATCGGCCAAGTCAATGGAGTTATTCAATCAAACATGACCAAAAGATGTTCATCAAAAGTCACTGGTAGTTTTGTCTTAAGCAAACAATGTAGACCATAAAGAAAGCTTGCCAAATGGGAGCCCATTTCAAAGTCAATCTTAGCTAATAAAGAGATTTATGCCCCATCGAATGTGTCACAAGGCTCACAGCTCATACTCTTCAGGACAAATCTTCAAGCTTTATTTGTTTATCATGTTTAGAAGGCCTCAGGCATGATCAAGTAGTATTAAGTAAGCTCACTACATTCATATTGATGCAATTTTTTTTATTGTCATAGATGGACTGACTAGATATGATATGAGAATTTTTTGTTCTTCTGCAGATTTGAATTGACTCACGTTAGAAACCTAATGCAGAAAGCGTTGTCCAAATTCAAAACTAGGAAAATAAGGAGGGAGAGATTGGAATGCGTGCTTAATTTGAGCAGAGGTAAGATGAGAATAGAAGAGTAAAATAGTTATCCATCAAAGGAAAAACTGAAGAAACCCATATTCAAAAAACATCATAGCCAAGGTATCAAAATTTCCAAAGATTTTCCAAATCTTCTTTACCCTAAACATGAGTCATTAGAATGTTTCTTTCTCAAACAAACCCAATAAGATCATAATTCCAATGTGTAGCACCATAGTCTAGTTTAAAAGTAGAAAAGCTAATCTCCATAGCACTCGAGGGAAGGAAGGTACCATGGTGGGGGTGTGGTGGAAGAACTACTTCACCAGTAATAGTCTTATGGTATCCAAGCAGTCGATGGGGACATCAAAACAAGCTGGGGAGCAAACTTTAGCCAATGCAACAAAGTTGAGTGGCATGGTGGAAATATTCAAATATACAGAACAGAACCAAGAAGGAAACCTTCTTACAATGATTGATTGTATGTAGTTAGAGCACCATTGTTGTAATTTGGCTTCATTCTAGTTAAGTTACTTAATGCCAGCAGACTTCTCAAGTTGTAACAAAACTATTTTGGATGAAATTTCACTTCACCTTTAAAAGAAAACAACAATAAAATAAACAAGGTTATCATGTTAGCTTGTAACAAGGTCAACCTACCAGTGCTTCAAACTTGAAATCTAGTAGGATGTTAGAAGATTTGATATCACGATGGATAATTCTTGGATGACCTTCATGTGGATGACATTAAAGCCACGAATTAGATTATAGAAACTATAAGATCAAACAAGTTCAATACCAAGTTCAATAGAAAAACTTACAGTCTTCATGCAAGTAAGCAATGCCCTTAGCTGATCCAATTGCAATCTTGAGTCTGGTGGACCACTCCATTACAGGAAGTCCCTTCCCTGAAATAGAAACCACATGAAAACTTTCAGAGGGTAAAGATAAGTAATTCAAAAAGTAAACAACAGAAGCAACCTACCATGGAGGTGGTATTCAAGAGTCTTATTTGGAACAAAGTCATAGACAAGCATTCTCTGTGATCTAGCTATACAGTATCCAACAAGGGAAACCAAATGACGGTGGTGAACACGACTAATAGTATCAACCTCAGCTTGAAACTCTCGTTCACCCTGCCCACTTCCAGACTTGAGAGACTTAACAGCAATATCCTTTCCATTTGGCAACACTCCCTTATGCACATAGCCAAAGCCGCCCTGCCCCAAGAGGTTGGCCTGAGAGAAACCATTGGTGGCAGCTGCAAGCTCCTCATAGGTGAAGGTGCTTTTGTTGTAACCCAAGGCTAAAGCAGGAGATGGAGGTGGCAGAGGGGCTTGTTGGCCAGAGAAGACGGAGCTAATCTCACCGCTGCTAAGCATTGTGGCGGTTGATTGTAGGTGCCATCCACCAACAGACTGACTATGCATACCGGGTGGTGGTTGAACCTTCACACCATGAGCCATCCCTTGTTTTCCATTGTGCCATTTTGGGGGTAGTCCACTGGAGTAATACATACTGTCTGAAAGCAAAAGCAGGTGAGAATTCAAAGCAGCAGCTCAGAGAGTGTTCAATTACAAGTTTTTACAAGTGAAATTCAAATTGTGATTCACTATGTTTTTCTTTCATGAAGATGTATAGCCAATTTTACAACTTAGTATTTTTTTTTCCTGCTTCTAAATTGTAATTAAGATCTATAGATCTACCCTTTTTTACCAAGAAAAAAAAAACTTCACAATAGAAACATGTGGTTAAAATTTATATTCAAGGAAAACTAGAATTAATATGCACATTTAGACTTCTTCAAGGAAAAAAAAAAGTGGAAAGCCCCATTCCAATGACCTAATGGAACTGGGGAACAATCTCACTTTATATTTCCATAGTAAAGAATGACATCATTGTTAGCTAGAATTAGTCCGTTACATTTTTTTAAAGAATCTAATTCGATCTCATATTTTATTAGGTGAGCCCAAGGCCACTACAAATATAAGATGGACACAAAACCAATTACGGATAAGAAAATGAAAAAAAAAATCAATTAGAAATATTAAATCTAGGTGGATATGAAGAAAATCACATCAGCAACGTTACTTCAAAAGCTTATAATAGGTTATATATAGGATACAAAGATTTATAATCAATTAAAATATTGATTAAGAAAATAGAATAAAAATTATTAAATTAGATTCAAATGATGTGTAATATAAATAATAATTAATAAATCTTGCTCAAACCCTTATGTCTTATGGCTACATCATTAGGGTTGTTAAAAGTACTCTTTGTTCGTGAACAGCTCGTGTTCGGCTCGTTAAGCAAACAAGCCGAACACGAACACACTTTTTGAGCTCAAAATATAAATGAGCCTAACACAATCTGAGCTTGGCTTGCTCGTGTTCGGCTCGTTTACACCCCTACATTCAATGACCTAATGGAACTGGGGAACAATCTCACTTTATATTTCCAAAGTAAGGAATGACATCATTGTTAGCTAGAATTAGTCTGTTACATTTTTTGAAAGAATCTAATTCGATCTCATATTTTATTAGGAGAGCCCAAGGCCACTACAAATATAAGATGGGCAAAAAACCAATTACAGATAAGAAAATGAAAAAAATCAATTAGAGATATTAAATCTAGGTGGATCTGAAGAATATCACCTCAGCAACGTTACTTCAAAAGCTTATAATAGGTATATGGATAGTCTATGCTAAATTTTTCCTTCAACAAGTTAAAAAGAAACTTGCAACAAATACGCTGAACCTACATGTTGGAACCTCACACCCTAAGTTTTAAGAAATTGATATGAGAAATCAGAGATAACTCAATCAACGACTTTTCATAATATTTAAAATAATATATTAACATTACCAAAAGTCCACGTAGTGGGATTAAGGCTTTGTTGTTGTTGTTGTTGTTGTACCAAAAGTCCACAACATTCCAAAATAAATCAGCTTGGTAATGTAAATAAATCAACAAACCTTTAAGTCCAGATGGATCAGCATAGTACTTCATTGAGTTGTGTGGTTTCTTCTTTTGCTTGCAGAAACAGATGCACAAAATGGTCATCAAAACAAAAAACAACCCTACACCAACTGCAACGCCAGCAATGAATTGCACATTTACATGACCATTATGCTTGGCCTTAGGTGAGCTCCTCATGACATTGGACGTAAGAGATGAAGGTGCTGTAGTGACTGTCTGCCATGGTGGTGATAGAGATAAATGTTCATCTTGAGGTGATGGTAGAGGCTGATGAGGGGACCTGCTAGCTGATGACAGTGGCGGAGAAGAATTAAGAGATGGAAGGGGAGGGGTGAGTGAAGGTGGGGATGGTGAAGCTGTGGGAGGTGAAGATTCTACAACTGTAACTGAATGAATTGGTGGTTGTGTTGAAGCTGTGGAAGTAGAAGAATTTGACACCCGAGCAATCGTGAAGGTCGATGAAGAAGCCATTTGTCAAAAATGGATTCCTCTGACCCAGCAAATGCTCTCCACTGTAGATAGTTGATGAACTCTCTACAAGAAAAATCAATTAGTCAAATAAAACCTTGAACACTCTGAAATAAATACAAAACTCTAACAGAAAAAAGTATTAATCAAAGTATGCTTTGAATACTCTAAATAAGAATAAATAGCCAATAATATAATTTTTGAATTCTAAAAATTGTTACATGCAAGAATACAAGCTAATGAACACGAAAAAAATTAGAAGTTATCCTACACTTATTCATGAAAAAAGTTTATTATTATTATTATTATTATTATTATTTATGGCACAAGACAAATTGTTCTCATAAATAATAATAATTTGTAAACATCTTGACTTTTGTCTAATAAAATAGCAACAAAAAAGCATTTGCAACACAAGGAAAATGACTTATAATCTGAGTTAAACTAAATTCAATATATTAATATATACAAAGAACCAAAGCTCAATAAAGGCAAATATAGAAAGAAACCAATCAGCCAAGATACAAGTTTTTCCTACTTATAAAAATCATAAAACAATAGAACCTAGCAGTCAAATATAATTTTTAGGATTTATAAGAAAATTTTCAAAAAAAATATATCAGCAGAAACCAAATATTATCATTCTTAAAACTACTGAAGGAAAATGAAAGCCCTAGAAGTTTGTAGAAGTAGATGATGTCAAAATCTTATGAGGTTACACAGATCCTCCTATTACCATTACACTTTTTCATTATAATAGTAGTAAATCCCGTGAATACGAATAAACCGTTGAGTAATATTTATAGGATAGTTCTCATCCTTCCGCTCCGCCCCTACCAAAAACCGAGAGTCTGTTTAGCCGCTTCTTGGATTTAACTTAAGTAGGATTTACTAAATCCAGTAAATCCGGATTTATTAAATCTAGTTATGTTAAATCCAAATTTTATGTTTGGTATTATTTCCGTTATATCCAATTAAATCCGCAGTTTATGTTTGGCATTTAATTTAGGATTTAACAAAATTTTCAATTAATTGATAATATATTTCTATGATAAACATCTATATTCCATAACTACTATTGAATGTTAAACAACTTTGCAGGATATGTATATTCTTCTCAAAGCTATCATGGAGCTGTATAGGCTTTCCTCCTTCGTTTTTCATCTTGTAGAAGACTTGGGAAGCTAAGTTTCTTCAAATATGGATAGCCTCGTAGAATTTGCTAATGGAAATTAAGGGAGGCATTGAAGATGGAGTGAGGAGGAATGAATCAGCTCGATATCTTAGCTCAACATGTGAATGAGCTGCTTAAATAAGCAGAAATGGCATTGAACATTATACTGTTGTATATTCATACAAAATCCCACTGAGATCTTACCTGCATCGGTGGGCAGCAACAGGATCATCATTTGGAAAGCCGATGGTTGTTGCGATCAGCGAGCAGCAGCAACAACATCAGATTCACTATCTTCCATTTTCCTTTGCAAGCACCTGCCCTGTAGCCGATTCTGATTCCTCCTTCAAATCACACAAATTTACGATACATACAACAAATTTTTGGCATGTTTTCGACTTATATTCATAAATCACAATCACATGACTGTAATTTATTGCAGGGAGTTGGATTTAGTGTGAGCCAACCGCAACATTATCACCAATCTCAGATTCTGATAAGCAGTATCTCTTCTGTATAATATATGTATAAATGAATGAGCTGTTTAAATAAGCAGAAATGACACTGAACAGTATATCTTTTGTATATACATTTCGATACTAAGTTTCTAACCGAATGATGGAGCGACCAGGCTTACCTTCCTCGATGGTTTCTGGTAGTATCGAAGCGAAATGATGAAAAAGATGGAAGTATCACTGGTCTCTGTACGCCACGATCCCCTACTGGCCTTCCCTGCTATCTCTAATAGGGACTATATCGCGAGGCGATGGTTTTGGGCGAAACCGGGAGAGGGAGAGTGATATATCACACGCAGTGCTTAAATCAACCTCCTTCCCCAGCCGTGATTTAGTAAGGCCGGTGAAATTTTTTAATTTAAATGGGCCGACGGATTTGACGGACGAAATAAAATATTTAGTGGATTTACGTTAAATTCAGACGTAAATTCAACTTAAATTAGTCTACCAAACACCTCCTAAATCTTGTGAATCAGCGGATTCAAGGTCTGTTTGGGGCAGCTGTAGCTTATCCAACTTATGCTGATAAGCAACTTATTCAGATAATCTGCTGATGACCGGCTGATTTAGATAAACTAACTGATTGTTTGGTTTGTGCGTTTAAAACAGCTGATTCTGGATAAATGATCATTCTGCCCCTGATGACTAGATTGAATAAATGAACAATCTCGCACCAAATCATTTCTAAAAGAAATATAATGTTGAATTGAAATGTACCAGGACAAAGCAAATATTTATGCCAAAAGTATCCTACCAGAGAAAATAAATAAGATTATTCCAAATCATTTGAATCAAACAATACAAAATATAATATTTTTTTTCTTTCTAAATGCTAAAATAAAGTTGACAAAAGGAATATTCATGCGTAAATTTAAAACGACAAAGTTCTATGTACGTAAATAAGATTTGTGTAGTACCTATGTAAATTTTCCAATATTTTAATGAAGCATTTACATACATATCACCAAATTCCTATGTATTTACACATATCTAAAGTTTATTTTTTTTTTTATATTTATACCTCCCAACTCTTTTATATCACATAAATAATATCATCATTTTAATTTTTTAAATATGAAATATATTTTCTTTTGCACAAATAAGATGATCTGCATGGAAAAATTGAAGATTTAAGAGAGGAAAAATACATGAGGATTGAGTGTTACGTATGTAAATCTTCCTCCTTTCTAAGAGAGGAGAAAGTTTGTTCTTGTCCTAGCAACTGCGCCAACCCACTCATAAATCGCTTCTCATGGCCTTCGCCGTCGAAGAAGGAAAAGCTTCTCCTCCGACCTAAAACTTCAGGCTGCCTCAAAAACAGCAATCAGCGTCTCACAGATACAAAAAACAGAGAACGGATTGGAAATAGAAAATCAACTCTAGGGATTCGGCATTCAATTCAAATTCGACAGGAAGAAGAAGAGGGAAAGGGGGACAAACCGGAGAGAATGGTTCTAGCAGAAGGAGGCGATTTAGGTTAAGCGAAGGGAAGGAATACCGAAGAAGAAGGAGTGGCTATGACAGAGCTCGCAATCGCGCGATAAAGAATGCCGAGAGAGAGCGATGAGGGCAGCGGAGTAATAGGCAACCTTAGAACGCGGATCGCGGGGATATACCTAAGCTGCCCCAAACGGGCCCTTAGTGAAGTCGGGACGAACTAAGAGGAAGAAAGGCGCGAAAAGGTTAGCTTCCTCAACGGTTTCTGGTAGGGGCGGAGCGGAAGGATGAGAAAGATGAAGGGGTTTCTGTAAGTCGCGATCCCGTCGTTGCCTTCCCAACTAGCAACTAGCTATGATGGCGATTGCTACTGCCAAACATAAAAAATGACAACATACATCCGAAATGCCACTTCTCATCTGTTTTGTCTACCGTTTGGTAGCCGATTTTAAGCAGGATTTATGCAGGATTTATGCAGGATTTAACATAAATCCTGTCAAACGACAAAAATGCCTCCGTAAATTCTGAGCACACCTAAAGCACAAAATGTCGCTGATTCGTGATAAATCCGGGATTCACCAAATCCTGTGAATCGGAGGATTTAGTAAATCCGCGACAAGCAAAGAGGAAGAATGGCGCGAACAGGCTACCTTTGTCAATGGCTTCTAGTAGGAGCGGAATGAAAGAATGAGAAACATGCGGAGTTTTTCTGTAAATCCGCGAACTTCCCAACTAGCAACTAGCTATGATGGCGATTGCTACTGCCAAACATAAAAAATGACAACATACATCCGAAATGCCACTTCTCATCTGTTTTGTCTACCGTTTGGTAGCCGATTTTAAGCAGGATTTATGCAGGATTTATGCAGGATTTAACATAAATCCTGTCAAACGACAAAAATGCCTCCGTAAATTCTGAGCACACCTAAAGCACAAAATGTCGCTGATTCGTGATAAATCCGGGATTCACCAAATCCTGTGAATCGGAGGATTTAGTAAATCCGCGACAAGCAAAGAGGAAGAATGGCGCGAACAGGCTACCTTTGTCAATGGCTTCTAGTAGGAGCGGAATGAAAGAATGAGAAACATGCGGAGTTTTTCTGTAAATCCGCGAAAAGCAAAGAGGAAGAATGGCGCGAACAGGCTACCTTTGTCAATGACTTCTAGTAGGAGCGGAATGAAAGAATGAGAAACATGCGGAGTTTTTCTGTATTCTCTGTGAGTCGCGATCCCTTCGATGCCTTCACAGCTAGCTCTAATGGCGATTGTATCGGGAGGGAGAGGGACATCAGGGAGCGTATGGGAGGCGTATGGGAGGGGGAGGATGTAGGCGATTCTCCCGGCAAAGAGGGAGAGAGCGCGATGAGTTTGTGGTTTTAATTTATTTTTATTTAAGTTAATTTTATAATTTTAATTGATTAATAATTAGCAAGTAATAATTAATAATTAATTAATATATTATAAAATATTAATAAAATTCTGAGTAATTCTAAATTTTAAATTTTTAAGCAAAGAGGGGGAGGTATATTTTAATTTTTAAATTATTTAATGAAATTCTAAGTAAATTTTAATCTATATAATTAATAATTAATTATTGTTAAATTATTGCTAATTAAGTAACTAGTTAGTAACAAATTAGCATTTGTTAATTAATTTAATTAATTATTAATTAATTTAAATTCATATTTTGTATGTACTTTGAGACTTTAGATGCTCATTTATATTTTTTTATTTAATATTTATTTTCAGAAGTTTACTAGGAATTAAGTTATTGAAATATATTTTTAATAAGATAAGATATTTATTAATATTATTTAGAATATTATCGATTGTTAAATAAATATGATTTTAATCGTTAGAAAACATTATAGCTATCTACAAAATAATCTAATGCTTAATAAAAATAAGGAAAGTTTGACCCATAAAAATAGTTATAAGATGTCTGCATAAAGTCTTGTTGATTTATACAAAATAATATATGATTCTACAAAAGCTTAGGGCCTTCACGAAGGTAGAAATCTATAAATGTTTAATGAAAAATTCTAATAATTTGAATTCTGGTTGACTACTAGCTTTTAAGTGCAATTTAAATGATTGTTTTTTTCTAAAGTGTGAAAATTTATTATAATATTTTTATTTAATAAATTTTAATTTTTTCCAGATAGGATTTTGGTCATACAAGATAAATACTTACATAGCTATTTGATACCCTAATTCTTTCACCTTCTTTAGTGGCTACAAAGTTATTTTTTTCTAAACTTGTTTAAGGGAACTAACCTAATGATTTGTTTGGGGCAGCTTCTGATAACCTACTGAAAATAATCTACTATTCAAAAAGTCACGGTGGTTATTACTTTTTTTTTTTGTAAAAGCTAAATTGCAAGTAGAAAGCTGCCACTGCACATAGCTATGAACGGTGTGAAGATACTGATTTCAGTGGTTTTAAAACGTGGCTTTATGAATATGCTTAAAAAATGCAATTTACCCAAATGGGCTTGGGTTTTTTTTTCAAAACGCACTGCATCAAATACGTTGTCATAAACGGGGCCTAAGTCGATTTATTTTTTTCTTAAAATTGTCTAAGGAGACTAATAAAAGTTGATCTTAGCCAACAATGAGCTTTATGACCTATCAAATATACACTATGATTCATAACTCAAAATAACAAAATATTATTTGAGAATATGCAGGCTACAACAATGACAATAATATAATATCATCATTTGACAGTAAACCACCCAATTGGAGAGCTTTGGTTGTAACCACTACTTGTATGTCATTTAGAGGCGAAACCATACGAACATAAGACTTGGGCCACATCCCTACTTGCAAAGGGTTATTTTCAGCGTTAATTTTGTAATATATTTGACATAACATTGTCTCTATGTGCACTTAAGTTAACACTAAATTTGTCCACCTTGGTAAACAATTGCATAGGATGTATTAATTTTTCTTACTATTTAAGCTTTAGTGATTTATTTTTTAAGTATTTTAATTTTTTTAATATAATAGATTCCTTTAGTTGAAATTCATTATCAACACACCCATCATCCAAAAAAGATTGAAAAAATTGTTTTTTTTTTCATTTAATTAAATTTATTAATTTCAGCATTTAAATATTGTTAGTCATGTCAACTATCATCCTTATTGGAAGGGGGGTTGAACTAGCTTAGTGGGAGGTCATTCTTTTCTATTATTGTCCACTTGGGAAGAAGGATACAAAGGCATGAGACTTAAGACCTTATTCTGTAGGAAAAGTGACACATTTGAGAAGAAAGTGAGTGATTTAAAAATTATTAACCTGTGCTTGATTTATGTTATATTTAATATTTGTGTCAAATTTAGATTTATCAATTTTTCTTAAGTTAAGCCCAATTAAGTCAAAATTTTGAAACATTCTGACAGACTCCCAACATCACTCCTGCAAGGGGGGTACATTGAAAAAGCCGCCTTAACCGCCACACCCATAAAGGTGTGTAAGATTGGTGTTGTAAGACATCAGAGTACGTTGAAAAAGCCGCCTTAACCACCACACCCATAAAGGTGTGTAAGGTTGGTGTCGTAAGACACCACGACCAAAGTATTCTAAACCCAACATGCTCTTAAAGCCATGTATGAGGTACTTGCAATATCAGTCAAAAGAATAATAAAATTTATTAAATTATGTGAATTTCTACTCAACTTCGACAACATCCCGACATTATCCATGTGAGGGGGGGCTATGTCGAAAAGTTGAGCCCGACCACCATGCCCCTAGAGGCACGTGTGGTTGGTATTGTGAGACACCGCAACAAAAGTATTTGAAACCCACCACACCCTTAGATGTATGTATGGGGTACATGCAAACACACATTAGAGCACATACATTTATATCCTTCTCATTGCATCATAAGCGTCGCCGAAAAATTTTGTCACGTTTTTTAAAGCATGTACAAGTCCACTCATCATGGTGAAAACATCGAAAAAACGTTGCATATCAGCTTCTCAGCCACATTTTTTGAAACATTTACAGATTCTCCTCATTGCACTATACATGATATAAATGGGACATGAAGAGTTTTATGAAATAAAATTTTTACACATTTTGCGAAATTGACATGAACGAACCAAAGAACACTTTCATCTTGAAATGGATTTTGAGAGCACTAGCAAACACACAACTCACTTCTCTCTCTCTCTCTCTCTCTCACTTTTTTTGGTTCACTGATTTTATTCATTCTATTTTAAAGAGAGAAATAAGTGAGAGAGTGGAAAACATGAAGAGGAATTTGTCTTGGGATTGTTGTCGGGTTGTAATAGGTGGGTGGATTGTGGGAAACAGGACGAAGGAGTAATTATCAGAATATTAATTTTTAGTTAATTATAAGTTAATTAATAAAATTGAAATTGATTAAATTTTTATAATATAAATTTACTAGTATACAATATAATAAATATTATATAATATACATACATACATATAGAGTGACATATATT